TCCAAAGAAATAATAAAAATTGCACAAAAGTCAGTGGCGTACATTCTTAAGTCAAAAATATTCTTTCAAATCCCGCTCGAGACGCCACTGGACTTAATAAATTGAATCACGTTCGGGCTAAATTAGCTCCATAATGTCATAAATACCATTGACAAATTACAACGAAATTAGACAAAGGATATTTAAGATATTTACGAATAACTTTTTTTTAACACCCTGTATTTTGAGAACGAAGGATTTGGGGACCCATGTATGTATGAACATTTTGTCTTAAAATTACTTAAAGAATCGTCTGTTAAATTTATGGTACATACTTAATTAACACCCTGTATAATGTTCCAGAATGAGTGCGCAAAATAGCCATTTGTCGATGAGCAACGGATTTGTCGCTTACTTCTGACATACAGGGTGTCACATTAAGTTTTTCAAAACAATATTTATGTTATTTGATAAGATGGAAAGATATTTGAAAAATAGTTGTAAACTAGGACAACATTTCTATTCAAGAGCCACCGGTAGACAGCTGTTTCAGCCTATTGGGCATCGTCAGTACCGGGCAGGCGGTCCTCGATTGAAGACAGAATGTGAAAAATCATAAAAGTACTTGATAAAAAAAGCTGCGTAAATGCAAGCGAAACATAAGTGGAACCACCTATTGGTGTGATACCCAAGTCAACTTGCCAAGTTTTCATGTCAATGTTGGTGTCTTGACCAATTAACCGACAACTGCGGTAGCAGAAATTTGGGAAGCTATCCTGGAATGCCATCGGAAAACGAATCCATGTGTTTCTAGAAATGATAAGACATCGAGAAAGCTTAATGCAGTCAATCAAGCTGCTGGAAAATAATTCCATGAAAATAAAAAATTTATAAATGAAATAATATGGTACCAAAATTTGGTTTGGAGTTAGGTGATATTTGGATTACACCTCAGTGTAATTTCTGTTACTTCAATTCAGAGTGGTAAAAAAATACTGTTTTTTCGTTTGCTTGAAAAAGTGACTGAAAGTTGATTATTTCAAACACAACATCCTGTGTGATATCACAAATCCAGAAAGTTGTTAAAATTTGCTTCTTCCCTATGTGATATCATGCATATACGTAACTAGTCCCTATGTATCGTAGAGTTTTTCGAGAGTTTTTTTTTATTTTTAGATACCTATCCATATTTTTTCCATTGCTCTGAGCGTTTTCTAAAATGAACTTCGAATAAGAGAACCTTTTATGATTATTTGAAACATATCTACATCAAAAATATATTATATGTGTTTTAATAAGCAGAAAAAGAAATGATAGCAATAATAACACCCGAAACCAACATTATAATTGTAATGAAAATCGAAATGAAGTAATTCATATGAGTACCCAAAAAAATTATTGGCGCAATAAATGTTCGAATTGGAGTCCTTCCATTTCGAGACAGACATTTTTAAACTCGGTTTATGATATTATTTATTGCCCTTAATACACTTATTTGCTGCATTGTTGCGAAATCATTCAAAATCCTCAATCTCGAGTCTTCCACATTTTCTATTTCTTTGCCAGCATAAATTCTATTTTTCAATGTCCCCCATAGAAAATAGTACAAAATAGTAGGATCTGGTGATCTTGCAGACCATCTTATTGTCCCATTATTTGTCTCGAAATGGAAGGATTCCAATTCGAACATTTATTGCGCAATTAATTTTTTGGTGTATATAAATTACTTCATTTCAATTTTCATTATGATAATAGTGTTCGTTTCGGATGTTATTATTGCTACCATTTTTTCTGCTCATCAGAACACATATGATATATTTTTGTTGTAGATATGTTACATTTGCAT